TTACTAATTTTAGTAGTCAAATTTTTTTCAAAACTCTCCTGCATTTCTTTTAATTCATGCACAACAGAAACCCGGATTTTCTCCAACAAACTACTAGAGTACTCGTTTTGTCTGGAAGTTTGTGGTGCATAGCGAGCCCCAGTACGAATAGTTACATTGTCCGGGCTATTAAAAGATATATCGGGGCAATCACTAGCAATACTCATATCATGCGTTAATTGTTGACGAATTGGTGTGTGTGAGTTGTCACCTTTAGGTACTTTACAACGGCATTCAATGCAAATCCAAGAGGTTTTCAAATCAGAAGAGAGCGTAGCGTACATCTGTGCAGTTAAATTTGCACATAACAAGTCAAAATACTGTTTACATTTGACGCATCTCATAAACGGGTTACCTTCGATAATTACGTCACGACATCCCGCGCAATTAACTCTTCTAGGTGACATTGTAATACAGGCGACAGTCACTCGCTACGTACACGCCGGTCGTAGGCACGATGAATCACTCCAGCAGGCGGGTCAAGCTCGTCGAAGGAACACAACAGTTATTTAAATTTTTTGAAATATTTTCACTTATAACTTGAGAACTATTTTACAGATTTTGATTCTGAATGTACCACTAGTGAGCTTGTTTTACAAGCTAAAAGGGTAATATAATTTTAACACTAAACGTCAACTTTAAACCACTAATTAAGATTGATTATTACGGAGCAGAATAAAACAGATGTTAACCGGTAGGCGTTCGAAAAGTACAATGTCAATTTTGGATGACCTTGACGGGGATCATCACTGAGCTTGACACGTCCACGTTGAAATTCAGCAAACCAGCGATAAATTGTAGTTTTGGATGGGGCTTCATCACCAAATGCAGAAATCATTCGGTCAACACACTGTTTTTGTGTTAAACCACTTCGAAAGTCATAATAAATCATCGCTCTTGAATTTTCTCGAGTCAATTCCATTTTCTCAACGACTAAACAAGTTTGACAAAACCTTGTGACAAGACCGAGAATCTTTTTTAAAATAAATAAATGGTATTCGATTTTTAAAACCAAGGAGTTTTCAATTAAAAAGATTTTAATATGACAGGAACAGTGGAAATATTCTATTCCCGATACTTTTAGTGCAGCCCTCGTATGGATTATAAATTTTATTGTTCTGGGTCTGAATGTATGTACATGTGCAAGGCCTTGCACTAGGTAATAATTTTAGTGTAGAGGTAACGTTTTTTTTATATAACTTTAAATATGGTAGAGTCATGCTTTAGCTATATTAATTATTATATTATATTATTAGGCTCGACCAGGGAAGGACCACACTCTCACAGAATACCAGTCTAAAATAGGCTGCTGTGTTTCATATGGTGAGTGTAGAGAACCAGAGGCTCCTTTTACTGCTAAAGAGGCATTCCATCTTAGTCCTCACGGCTGACAAAAACAACACATCTGCGTTTTGATTCGCAAACGAGGATAGATGTGGGTTATTTTAGGCCACAGCAAACACTTCCATCAGGTGGACTGTGTGCTCGCTTGTCACCTTTATCCTATAAAAAAAATAAACTGTAAATAAAAGCAGGCCACTCCTAGATATTAGCCTGTTCCATTGTATTTTGCTTGGGGCAGGTGTGACACTGCTCCCTATCACGGTTCTCGATATTTTACTTCTGGCTATTGTCTGACCCTCTTATCTATTTTCCCAACATCCTTATCTATGTTTGCTGACAAGGTGATATGCATCTAATTATTTTATGGCTAGAAAGTAAATATAATATTAGGTTGTAAGGCATTCTATCTCTGTCTTCAGAAGTGGCAACAACACATTCTTCTGCCTTTTTCAATTACATCAATCAAGTGGGTCATTAGCTAATTTGTCACTATAAAAAAATTGAACAAAAATCTGTTATTATAAAAAAATTACAACTTGTACAACATTAAGGAAAATAACTAAGACCGACAAGCAAAGATGTGCTGAGCAGTATGTACATTTCAGAAGACACTGAAAACATGACCTACTTATTGTACGAACATAATTAAGCAACTAACAAAATGGTTTAAGGTGTATAAGTGTACGTCCAGATGTGGATATTCAGAGTCTGATAAAGAAAGAAAGAAGGTTTTGGCATCACTTGAAATTTACGTAGAGACTATCTGTCTTTGCTGTTCAGAGAGAAAAAGTACTTAAAAGTAGCAACACCATTTTCATCGTTATCAACATTACAGCAATTTTCTAATGGGAAGATCTATGTTCAACAGTGGATTTGTGATGGACTGTAATGATGAGGATGAGGAATACTATGAACATTACAATATGCTTGTCAACAATCTCAACAATGCTATTTTACGACTATAGATAGACAAAACTTAACCATTAGTGTACAGTGGGTGTAACTACTGTTATGGCGTTACATCCTTTCAAAAGTCCATACATATAGTGAACATATGTCTCCCCACAGACTGCCTCATTTGGGGCTTGCCATTAGTTACCATGTTTGGCAAATGGGTTAGCATTCACAGTTTTTTAGGGTTCCTTACCCAAAAAAAAGGGTTATCAACGTCCATTCATCTGTCAGTGGGCTATATCTTATGATCCGTAAAAGAGAGCAGTTGAAATTTTCACAGAATGTGTATTTCTGTTGCCACTATAACAACAAAATAATAGAAATTAAAATAAATTAAAAATTAAAGGGGGCTACCTACTAGAAACGTGTTTTTTACCTATATAGTATTAAATTTTGTACGATAGTACGGAACCCTTCATGCGCGAGTCCGACTCGCACTTGGTCGCTTTTTTAATTTTTTTGGTGTTATTAGAAACACACTGTTGCCCATCTTCTGGTTTGTTTCCCTCTATGTCTATCGCCTCATATGACACCTACGGGACGATATGGGGTAGTAAATATTCTCACATCAACATTATACGGTGTAACTTTAATTAGCAAGAATAATTTACTATAGCTGTAGAACATTGTGAGAACTGTTTAGTACAACCGAAGGGCCAAATGTGATAAACTTTGGAGCAAGGCGAGGCACACAATTAATTGTATGTAATTAGTGACATATTGTTATCTATTAGTTAAATATTATTCCATGCTTAATAACTAAAATTAAATATAATACTGACCTTTTTTTTATAGAAGAGGGGGCAAACGAGCATGCGGCTCACCTGATGGTAGTGACTATCGCCGCCCATGAACAACCGCAACACCAGGGGAATTACAGATGCGTTGCCGGCCTTTTGATGTAATAAATTAACAATTGGAAGAGAAACCCTGGTTTTAAAATTTATAACCTGGTAGCGTAAATATGTCTCATCTCTTACTTATCATGAGGCAGGTTGGCAACCACGGTTTTGTTCTTTATTTATTATTATTATTACACGGTTTGTTAAAATAGGGACATCCTTTTAAGTAAATATATACCTGTGCCAGGATATTGTTATCAGAAAGATGCTGCTGCCATCTTCTGTTTCATTTCCCTCGGTCGCTTTTTACGTACAACATCCACGGGATGACAAATACTAATAATGCCCTAACTAAAAAAATATCGGCTTTTAATTATACACGAGCGAAGCCGCGAGTACAAGCTAGTTGTTTATAAAATTAAACTTATAGACCTATCCGTAGAATGCTATTGCTATGGTAACAACGTAAATAACACTTGATTTTAAAAGGAGCCGATCAAAAAAACATACATAAAAAAGGCGATCCGCCCCATCTACCCACGAATAATTTCTATACCTCGACAATAGCGCCACCTACCGGGTCACACACAAAAAATCTGTCCAGCCATTTATAGTGCCTGCGTTATGAACTCAATCGCGGGGCAATAAATCATTGTAATCAATCTATCTTGCTCGCGCTCATTGGGCTTATGGAGCGTCATAATGATGTGCGTAACGGCAGGTATCGATTTTTAACAGTGGCAGAGCCACGCGGCAGTTTTTGCTGTCGCACGGATGGGCCGGCTTGAACCGGGGTGGTACCACGATCTCACAGAAAACCAGCGTGAAGTAGAGGTAGGTTTACCTCAGCGTTTCGCTTGGTGAGTGCAGGTGGCCGGAGGCCCTTTTTACTGGAAATGAGGCATTCCATCTTAGTCCTCACGGGTGACAACGCATCTACATTTTGATTTGTAACAGAGGATAGATGTAGATGTCTATGGGCCGCAGCAGCCACTTACCATCAGGTGGACTGTGTGCTCGTTTGTCACCCTTATCCTATAAAAAAAATCGATAAGATATTTAATGAAACTAGTTTTTAAGGTTTGGAATTATGAAATCATTAAATAACACAATAAAATAAATAAAATTTATAAATATTTTATTATATTACAAATTATCTTCTTCATCCGAGACATCTGTGTTACTAGGGTGTTCCTGTAGATTTATAATCATGATTTTTAGAAATGTAAAAAATGTACACACCTTGTTACCTTACTAAACATAAAGGGCAAATTCAAGGAGGGTAGCTTTGTCCGCCAATAAGGCGGACTCAGGTAGCGAGTGGCGCATAGCGGTGGTGCATTCCTATTGTTATTGACATTTATGGCCCGACGACTCAGTTGATAACGCGGGCACTATAGGAGGAGTTCAGTCACATATACATGGACAGAAAAATTATATATATAAAGATTATACTTTCATACGGCAATTATTCGGTTTTTTTAGTTCTTTGAAGTCTGTTTTTACTTTTTTATGAAACATCTTATTTTTTGATTGTTTTGAGTGGAGTAAGGAGGATACTGAACATAGGGAGGTCCCGTTATATACTGCTTCATATTTACTATGGTTGCCCTACTTCGCAGGTGGGTCGGTAGCCACCGTTTTTTATTATTTGAAGCTGTCGTATTAGAAAGATGCTGCTGCCCATATCCTGTTTCAGTCCTCTGTCCACTCTTACGACACCCGCGGGTTGATATGGGGATGTGGATTGTCTTATGCTGCCACTACACAACAAAACTCCTATACATAAGTTATTATTTAACCATAGAGTACCTGTTTCAGATTGAGTACTGTGAAGATAAAGAGAAGATTATAGAAGATGAACAAGATGAAGATGGAGGCTGGGTGGATACACACCATTATGATTCCACTGGAGCTCCCACCATAGAAGAAAAGGTAATTTATTTCTATCAGTTTAACTCTTACACTAGTCTTCCTAATACTAGCCAATGGGGGCATCCACGACTTTTTCTGCCACCAGGGCGGCGCCACTTTACAATGAGGTAAATCATTTGACAGATTTCATAGTGAGGAAGATGATTTCTTAAAAAAAATGTAAGGGTTAATGTTTCCTTATGTATTGTTAATTATATTTTATATTCATTACATAAAAAATAAATAAACCAAAATATAGATCTAACTAAAAGCACAACAAATTAAAGATTAAATCACTCTCACACAATCAATCTCTAGAAACTGATAAACTATTATTTAAAACTATAATTTCGCAATTCAGTGACATTATGTAACAGAAAACCTTACCTCAGTTACAACTAGCGACATCTGGTGAGTGGAAATTTTTAGCCCTCATTATGTGGTAACAACACTAAGTATTTATTTACTTTTTTTCAACAATATTTTGCAGGGAAGTAAAAGGAATCTCAGCTCATACAGCCACGAATGTTTGCAACAAAACTGCCCTGAATGTTTTCTTATGTGGTAGAGCCATCATGCAAGTATGAGAGTCCGCACTGAACAAGTATTTGTATGATCTACGAACTATTGTTCTGGGTCTGGATGTTTGTGCTTGGCAATTTGTGTATGTAAACTGTATCCACGATACAGGAGAAAATCCTAATGTCGGGATAATGTTTTTCAACAAAACTAGAACTAAAGAGTGCCCAGATAACAGGAGACCCTTTTTACTGGTAATGAGGCATTACAGTTAGATGTTAGTCCTCTGGAGTAACAACCCCTCTATATTTTGATTTTTAATCAAGGGTAGATGTAAATATCTGTGTGCCACAGCATCCACTTACCATCAGGCTGATTGTGTGCTTGTTTGTCGTCACCCTTATCCTATAAAAAATGATTATTTTATCTGAATCAAAAGTCCACTGTTGAACATAGCCCCCCATAGATTACCACACTTGGCAGGGGGCTTAGCAACCGTAGTTTTCTCAGGAAGATGTTTCTGCATATCACTTGTTTCAATTCCCTCTGTCGCCTCTTATGACACCAAGGGAATGTAATGTGGCAGTGAATTCTAAAGTCTAAGGTTTTTCAGGTTTGTGAAATGACCCTAGAAGCGGCGGATGCAGGCGACAGCGAGGGCGATGGAGCCGCAGACGACGAAGACGACGAGGACGATGAAGACGGTGAGGCTGAGGATATGGAGCAGTTCCAGGAGTCGGGTCTCCTGGACGAAGTTGACCCGGTGAGATGCTCATTTGTGTATCTGTGAGTTAAATTTGGATAAAATGCAATGTTCTGGTGGATGGAATGGATGATGGAAGAAGAGTAATGATTTCTTATATTTACGCGAATACTACACATTTAAATAAAACTAGTTTTTGCGGATTTTATCGTTTTCATTAACTTATTTTATATTCCCGACGTTTCGAACACTTTGGACGAGCATTTGGGACGTCGAACACCTCAGTCTCCTCCTGTGCATATAAAATAAGTTAAAATACGCGATAAAATCCGTAAAACTAATTTTATTTAAAAGAGTGGTTATTGTAAATAGGACTCTACTCTAAATGACAAGGCATCCTTATAATTTAGTTTTTCTAATTTTTGTTAAGATACGTGAGGGTAATATCGTCACCTGAAGCTTTGCCGCCCTATAAAACCAAAACTAGGAGAAGGACAGAGACAAATACACAATGTCGTATACTATAACTAGTATAGAAAAAAATAACGAACAAGCCTTGGAAATAATTAGCAACACTTCGAAAAGTCAACTTAAAAAACTAACTATAGTATGTGAGGGTAATATGGTCATCCGGTTAATATGGTCACTTTCTTATAACTTAAAAACTACAGCGTCGTTTGCATAGAACGCTCTAAATGCGATAGCTCTTGATCAGTCTATCAAATAATAAAGGGTGAAAAAGGCGCTGCTTTATTGACGCCGTTTTTACAGTTGATATTATTGTATATATTTTAGTCGATTTTTGTATTGTATAGTGTAGTTAGTTTTTTTAAGTAGATTTTTCGAAGTTCTCCTAATTCTTTCCAAAGCTTGTTTGCTATTTTTTTCTTAATATATTAATTATAGTATACCACTTTGTGTTTTTGTCTCTGTTCTTCTCCTAATTTTGGTTTTATAGGGCGATAAAGCTTAAGGTGACCATATTACCCTCACGTACTTACTATAATATCAACTGTCAAAATGGCGTTGATAAAGCGGCGCCCATTTGACTCTTTATTATTTGAATGATTTATGAAGAGCTATCGTATCACAAAGCCATCTATGCAAATTAGGCCGTAGTTTTTGAGTTATAAGAAAGTGACCATATTAACCGGATGACCATATTACTCTCACGTAGTAATGTGTTATAGCATCATAGCTTCTACGCCAAGTCCTACTAGAAATAGTTGAACTCACACCACATGATTAAATTAAACTCATATAAAAAGGATTACATATGTAGTATATTTTATTGGAAGTTTTGGAAATATTTTTATATTATTAACTGTAGGATAAGGTGCGAATTGCGGCTCTTTGGTCACCCCAGAACTCTATACTTATTCATGATTTTATCAAAAAATCATAGATAATCCTAGGTCTAACAATTATTCATTTAATCAGCTGGTGTAAGTTCAACTATTTTTTCTTAGGATATCAACTTTTAAAAGCATTTACGTCCTGAAAAAAAATCACTAGTCAAGAACTGAATTAAACAGTTGAAACACTGTGAATTAACGGCTCCTATAGTTCTTGATCGAATTATATGGAGTGCATATAATTCGATCAAGAACTATAGGCCTCGATATATGGTCCACCTTTAAGATAGAAAATATTACAAACTTAAAAAAAATGTTGAAAGCTATCTGATCGTGAGGGTGCTTTTGGATATTGTGATGTAATAAATTTTTTAAATAAAATTTAATATGAGCAAACATACAACTTATGTGGCGCGGGCGACAGTCTTGTAACAATAACATGACACATTCATAGCGGTGTTGCCAGATTTAAAAAAAATTAAGCAAATTGTAGTAAAAACATGTATTTTTAATAACAATAACATTTTAATATTCATAATGTGTTTGTTTGCGGTACCTATGTTACCATACGTATTCAACAAGGTATTTTACGTAGCGTATAGTTTTTGATCCGCTTCCTCTGTATGAACATAAGCAAGAAGTAATTGTTATTGAACCATGTCCAAGAGTTTTATGAATGATGAAGTTTTACAAACAAATATTTCAAGTTTTTAGTTTTAAATAACTGTCACTAGTCGACAGACCTGACGACCCGCAAGGACCCGAAGCCAAAAGCAGAACGTAAGCCGCGACAAGCCGACGGCGACGACATCGTGCGGACTCGAACTTACGACTTGCACATCACATACGATAAATACTACCAAACACCACGCCTATGGCTCATCGGTTATGACGAGGTGAGTTTCGTTTATGAACAATTGAAATACACCTTAGTCCAAATATTTGATAATTTACGTTTTAGTTTACTAGTTGGTATAAAAAGGAAATGCGAATTCGCTGTTTTTATAAAACTGAATTAACAAACTAACTTAGCACCTTATGGTAAGTGGCTACTGGAGTCCATGGACACCTGCAAACAACATGACACAAAGAAAGTTACATACGCGTTGTAACCTGAGGTCTGAAGGCTCAGATTGAATGCTTCACAGCCTGTAATTATAATGATGTAGGTAGGTAGATAGGTAGGCCAATTTGGGTTAGCGAATTGGTTGGAACACTTGAGGTGTGTAGTGTCATAGTTAACTTGGAAAGTTTTTGGTTTTACTCCGGTGGCTCGCTATTTTAACTATAAAGTTGTTATAACTTCATTAAAAATGTTGTCAGTAGAAATTGACTTTTATTACTATAATTAAAAATTATGTACAACCGACTTCAATATAAATTATTAAGAATAACTCAAAACTATTGGTCAGACCTTGATCTTTATATGGAACCAATGAAAATCACCAGCTTTCAAAAAATAAGAAGCATCGAATTCGGTCAACGCAGAAAAAAGTTATGAAGTAACACATAAAAGAGAACATACAGTCGAATTGAGTACCTTCTCCTTTTTGAAGTCGGTAGAAATTTAATACGACACATTGTGAATTTAAGGCAGCGTAAAATAGCAGCTTAATGCTGCTGTGTTTCGTATGGTGAGTGTAGAGAACCGGAGACGCTTTTTACTGGCAAAGAGGCATTCCATCTTAGTCCTCATGTGTGACAACGCATCTGCATCTTGAGTCTTTATTGACGATAGATGTAGATGTCTATGGGTCACAGTAACCACTTACCATCAAGTGGACTGTGTGCTCGTTTGTCAACCAATTCTATAAAAAAAAACAACAATAACTGACACAGACAGTAGAAGAATCCCAAACAATTTTGGTCCTTCGGGCCGGATCTTGTTGAGGCAAAGTGGAAAACGCCGTCGACGAGCAGCGGAAGCCACACGCGCGCAACGGCTTCTTGCAATATTTAATACACACAGCATTTTTATTGCTTATAATGATGATCTTATTTTATTAATTTTAACATCCTTAGTATGATGGATTTCCGCAAATTAACGCCTAATTCTAACATCTGAATACAACATTTCTGAATATTTGAGATCTAAATTATTAAAGTTGAAGGTAGCTCGGGTTAACTAACCTGTTGTGATCATGAGATATTTAAAATAAACGCGATAAAAATGCTCAAGAAATAGCTTTCTACCGTAGTCACATCTTATCTTATTAGGTAGATTGTTAAATCGGTTTTTCTTTAATATCATAAAAATGTATTGTTGTGATGTTTCAGGAAAGGCGGCTCCTGACCGTTGAACAGATGTATGAGGACGTGTCGCAGGACCACGCCAAGAAGACTGTGACCATGGAGGTGCATCCACACCTGTCTGGTCCCAGCATGGCCTCTGTCCACCCCTGCCGGTGAGTCATAGGAACACAGGCATTGTAGCCCACAAAAAATAAGATCCATCCATCTATTACAGCCTATCTCATAGATTGCATCATATAGGATTAAGATATAGGATTTTGCCTTTGTTTTTGCAATCGCAGGTTTTTTTTTATAGGATCGACACCTGTCTGTGTGATAAGCAAGCACACAGTCTACCTGATGGTAAGTGGTTGCTGTGGCCTATAGACATCTACATCTATCCTCGTTTGCGAATCAGAATGCAGATACGTTGTCAGCCGTGTAGTGTAGTAAAAAGGGTCTCCGGTTCTATACACTCACCATATGAAACACAGCAGCATTAAGCTGGTATTCTGTGAGATCGTGGTCCTTCCCCGGTCGAGCCGACCCATTTGTGCAACAACTATACAATTAATGTAGCTGCAGGATGGCTCTACCACGTTGTTAATTTTGAATATTTTGAGTTGTTAGAAGATTCTGCTGACCATCTTCTGTTTTAGTGTCCCTTTGTCGCCTTTCACGAAACCAACGGGACTTTATGGGGTAGTGGATATTCTTACACTACCATTACTCGGTAAATAAAAAAGATAGACGCAGTCAATACAACTATTAAGTGACGACCGTTAACGTGACACTAGTCGACATTATTTCCATAGAAATTTCGGAGGGGTTATACTCCGCTGTTTGACAGTGTACATCCAAAGTTAAACATGATATCGTTTTACCTCATTATTAAATTTGTCTGTACGGAAACAGAATAGTAAAATAAAATGTTATTTAAAAAATACGAGATACCAAAGATTCGTTTTTATTGCCAATTTTAACACAACTTTGGGCGTAAATTAGTAATAAAAGAAGTGTATAATTTCCAAAACAAAGTCGGTACCGACAAAGCTCAATTATCGAAGAATGCAAAAAAATTTATTTGTAATTGATTAATGCAGTGGTTTTTTCATAAAACCCCTTCTTCCAAAGGCCTTTTCGTATTTTTTTTACGCGCGCATGTTACTTTGAATTATCGTGCATCTCACTGAATAATGTCTCCCCCGATGCGGTGCGGGAGGACGACGCTTACACACACATGCACGGGTGGTAACGCGCGCTTATTCGAGTTTTATTCGAAACGAAAAGTTTTGCTATTTTGTAAAAAATAATGAAATAACTTTCGTTCGTAAGGATAAATATGCCATGCCTAATAATTAAATTTTCATTTTTTTTGTCACAAAATGCCTAATTGTGGCTTATATATAAGAAATAGACATATGGTATCGCGGACTTTTTTTTAGACGGAGTAAAGATCTATATTTTTCTAGAACATTGTATTTACGTATCCCGAACCATAACACCAGCGTACGCGGATAAATCATTTTGGGAGCGCTTTTTCTTCTGACTTGCTTAACAAATATAGGCTAGCTAAGATATATAGCCTAATGCTATAATATAGCCTATACTATTCAACATGAATCTGGCTACAAAGTCCAAAAAAAGATTTTTCAAATCGGACTGGTAGTTCCAGAGATTAGCACGTTTAAACAAACAAAAACACTCTTCTACTTTTATTATATTGCTGCATTATATTAGTATAGACTACTATAGATGTTGCATCGTGTTCGTGTAACTTCGTTTTTATTCTAACGGTTCGGAACGCCGTACGAACAAGACGTGCGTGAATACTAGTGTCGATCTGCTCATCACTGATACTATCTTTGTCGTGCACGATGCCAGGTGAGACAGCGTGCTTTTTGGCCGCGCCCACCAGCGAGTTCGAGCCCGCGACTTGTGCCACCTTAAAGGAACAAATAACTAAAATACATTATTTTTTTTATACATTTTGTTTTGAGCTTATCTAAATGTTATCTAATTGTATATTCAGACATATATTATTGATTTATTACAATTGCCACTGATCACTCTCCATATACGGCCATATAGCTCAAATAATCAACAACTGCACGGCTAGCATGGGCTGGGGACAAACATTTTATCCCCTGAATATATCCACTGACAAGAGATAAAATTATCTTGTCCCTATGCCAAAGCACGGCAAATGCGAGAAGTATATCCCCGTAACGAGTAGACATAATATATCCCTCATACGTAGCATGGAGCCAAGTGAAAGATAAAAAATTATGCTTTTTTGACATTTGAAAGGGACAATTCTATCCTAGTTCATTGGACGTGGGTTTAAGTATATATTCATACAAAAAATCTCCTATTTTATCTACTGTGGATATTATATCCACCGGCGTGCCCATGCTCGAAGGGTGGATAAAACTAAGCGAGGTGATAAACATTTTGTCCTTTCCCCGGGGATAAAATTGTCTCTTGCCCATGCTAGCCCTGCTGGTGGAGAACAAAGGTTTTCGAGTGGCAGCACCATATTGGTAAGCGAAATATTGGGTGGTTCCCACTAGATGGTGTGACAACTTGGTAACAGATGTAGGAAGTGGATGGTCCTTGGCCATGTTCAGCGGTGGACTTGTGATAGGCTTCAATGATGATAATGATGCGCGCTTGCCCAAGCGGGCGGATTTTTGAGCGCACCGGCGACACCTTTGCATTGGTAACACTGTTCTTTGTAGGATCACGGTTGAGATATATTATGATGGTTTTCCCACCATCAATAGGTTGTCAAAGCCTTGTCTAGAAGGGTCCACTACATGCTGGTGAGGTTGACAATTCAAGAAAAAAGGTCGTTTAAACCTCCTGAAGTTCTATACTACTTTGCTTTTAGTATCTATCTTCTATGATTAATAAATTTATTAAAAATACCTTCTTAAACTTGACAGTGTTCGATAAGCTGCACATTTAGCCTAACATGGATCAAAATTAACCACAATTGGCAACATACTTACACTAATAATTATTAACCAACAACATAACTAATTTTAAGATTTCAATATTTCTCTACTTAACTTAGTGGCCTTACTAATGTTCCTAACTAATGCTTGCGGGGACATTCTTGGATAGGCTTCGGCCGGTAGATTTAAAAATCCTGTTGATGTGATTTAATTTAAGTGTCTTAATTATAATTATTACATTATATATTATTAAATTAAGGCTTTTTTTAGTATATGGGTGACAAACGAGCATGCAGTGCACCTGATGGTAAGTGGATACTGTGGCCCATTGATATCTACAATTATCCTTGATTAAGAATCAAGATACAGATGTGTTGTCACCCCTGAGGTTTAGATGAAATGTCTCGTATCTAATAAAAAGGATCATAGTCACAAAAACACAGCAGGTTTGAGCTGCTATTTGACGCTGCTACAAGCATAATATAGCTGCAGCACGGCTCTACCACTGCTACTGCTATTCAATAATGTATGCATATATGCATCTCCAGGCACGCAGAGGTCATGAAGAAGATAATCGAAACGGTGACGGAGAGCGGCGGCGCCATGGGCGTGCACTCGTACCTCATCGTGTTCCTCAAGTTCGTGCAGAGCGTCATCCCCACCATAGAGTACGACTTCACCCAGAACTTCACCATGAACTAGCCTCTTGCCACCATTTACCATTAATCACCACGAAGCCTGCATTTTTTAATTAATCTTATATATAAGATGTATGCCTTGCTTTAAATAAAGTACCTTTGTTGTTGCTTTATAATACACATAAATAAAGAAGCGGCGCGCGCACTGAACTGCACACACTTGAAAGATGTGAAACAGTTTTCGTGATGTTTATATCAATATATAATAAGTATTACAATGTTAAAGGACAGGGAGAGTATTCAAAGCAATTTATTAAATAAAACTCATGCTAAAGATAATTACAATTTTATTATTTATCATTTTGTATTTAATCAAAGTTTTAAAAAGCGCTATAATTTATTTTTTATTTTTGAGAAAAAATAATAATACTCAGTTGCTATTGTATAACTTTACAACTATGGACTATAAATTGAATTAATACATTTTAATACATATTACCAAAGGTAAAATAATTATAAGTTTATTTTGAGTTATAAATTTAATTTCATACATATACGGGCGATCCTCTCCTTATCTCGATTAAAGTGGATTTTCTTAAATGAATTACTGTAAAACATTTTGAAGTAATAATTCAGGTCCAAAGATATTTGTCACAGATCTGTCATAAAGCAAGTGCCATTATTGTTTAAACGTATGTGTATCGTCAAAAAAACGTAATGTAGTAGTAATAAGTTAGCTAAATAAATTGATTACATTTATGTCTCATAATTTATGGTATAAATATGAAAATGGGGTCTCCAATTACTTTGAAAAACAAATAGGTTAAAAACTAGTTCAATTTAGGCTGATGCGCTGATAATTCGGCATAGGTTTATTGAGTGAAAATGCAGTGAATTACATAAACAGCTGTGTCCTAACAGAGCTGATTAAATATTATTATTTTGTAACATTTTGATTTGGTAAATATGAGTTGATAAATATTGTTGGATACCCATTTCCTGTATTAGTTGTATTTCTTCAATTATAATCATTTCGTCTCATACCCTAAAAAAACTACAAATGTATTTTTTTAATATTTGTATTAGTAATGGCAATAATACAATTTTACAATATTTGCTAAGATTTATTCTAAAATGTATATTTCTGTCAAGAAAGAAGCTCATTGGTAATTTAATTTGTTGTTTATATTATTAAGTTTTATTTTACTTATAAAGTTATTTTGCTAAAAATTCTAGTTTTATAACTGCACATAATACCTACCTGTGCAAGAAACGTATTTCCGGCCAATTCCTTTCCTATCCTTGGCGAAGGGCTTTTTCGCTTTTACACTTCAACAAGTACAGTAGCAAATTGACTTGTGAACTTTGCGAGCTAGGTAAAGTCTCGTTTGAACCGCAATTAGTGAGTTAGGCCCGCCACATACATACGGAATTCCGTTTCGATATTACGATTCGGTATTCCGAACGCAACAAGTCCTTATAAAATCTATGCCCCGTCACACACGTACGGCAGTTTTCCGTTCGAAATTTTGCGGGTAAAACAGGATTCCGTATGTGTGTGGCGGGCCTTAAGTAGCAAATTAACAATTAAGTTGAACCATATTCTGTGCTTGTGTTGCCCTCCTGCGTCTCCCACCACCCGCAACTAAACTCGCCGCTCTTGTGAACTTCATGGTATAAACCGATTACAAATTTCAGAACCGGTTTTTAATGATTACTTTGAGTAAAAGACCGTTTTTAAGGTATTTTGAGGTTTGTTCTTACCTTTTTAAAAGAAAACAAAACGTCAAAATAACCTTTATTAAAATCGAAATAACTTCTACCCAAAAATAACTAATCACAAAGTCGTAATTTTGATTAAAAAAACAAATGTGATCGACAGCATCCGCTTGCAACCTGCTTCTACTGGATGACAGCCCATATCCTGATTTAGAAAACATACTTTCCGAAGGCACAGACGTTGCTGGCACCGATAAATATTTTAGTGCTAAAACGTTCAATAGCTCAGTTAACTGCAGACCCAGTTGTATGGATAGTGGTTTGCCTTTGTTTCAAAAAGTCGAGGTTTTTTCTCTTACTTGATTTTACTCCACTGATGTTTGAACTGCTTGTTCCAAAGCCGTAGCCGTAATATTAGTTTCAGAATCCTTTATTAAATGAGATAACATATTTTCCGAGCGCCTAAAACCAGATCTAAATACCGGATGTAAGTATGTTGACATTTGAGTGACAGTTCTTGTCTCTTCTACTAAAAGTCTGCTGCTCATATTTCGCCTGATTGAGCAAAAGATTTTGCCTATATCTGTGTCCAGAGTATTTTCAATGGTGGTCAAGTTCAAATAAAATCCACAAATTACTGGTATGATTAATGAACTGGTCGGATATGTATCAGCACTAATAAGCTTTTTAGCCTGTTCGAATATTTCCAAAACCTTTATTATTTTTTTGCCCACTTTTTCTTGATAGGCGGTTAAGTAGTCTGGTGCCTGGATTAATTTCCTACATACTAAACATCGGATAATTGAAGAATTCTAGACACCATGTAGAATTTGCTGTTCCATGCGTGATACTTCTTGTATCAACTTTAAATGAGTAGTATTGGTATTTCTTTCCTTCTGTTCTGCTTTTAGCGCTCGCAACCCTACAGACAACTTTTAAAAAAAAAAACTTAACAATAACCTTACATTTGTTAATTATTTCCGATGTCTCAGGAAGCTCTACAGAATCATCAATAGTTAGATTGAGCATACGCTTGCTCAAAACATGACAAGTGCCGTATATTTAGCAACATTCTGATCATGTTAGTAGCGTTGTATGCGACAATGGTTGTAATTTTGCCAGTTAGTTTCCATTCTGTTAGTAATAATTTCGGCAAGATTTTCAGCTGTGTGTGCAGTGGGGACATCTGAGGTAGACAAAACATAGCTCTTTAAATTACCTTTCAGAAAAAAATATACAGTAACCGTAATAAAGGATTCCATATTTTGATTAGACCACAAATCAGCGGTTAGTGCAGCATGCTTAACATTATCAAGTGCAATAGACAAGCTTTACCTTTGCATATGGTACTGTTGCGGCATTACTTCGTACCTGATTTTTTGTTTACTCCGTAATTCGTAGTTTGGGTTCAAAACTTCTGTGAACCTCTTAAGTCCTCTATCTTCAACAATCGAAAAGGGCTGGAAGGGCGATCATAGTGGTTAAATATTTAACAATTTCTTTCTTATTACTGACCAAGGTCCCTTTCAATGTAGTTTGGAGAAGAGGAGTTTTTGAAGTGCACAAAGATTGTTCTTGCTTGGTTTGGCCTAAGGCCATAGGTTGCTGGGATGTTCACCTACAACATTCCCCTGCACTTCCACTGTAGCCTGTGAATGGTGTTTTATTAAATGAGCCAACATATTATAAGTTCCACCACCAACCTTAATTATTTTTTCGCATAGCTTACATTTGGCAGTATCATTATAAATTTTTTCGAAATGGTTCCGTGTGATGGATTTTTCTTTTACTTTTGGCATCCTGCAATACAGTAAAATGCAATTCATTGATAAAAAATGCAGGTAATTTATTTAAATTAAAAGCAAAAAGGTATAAAAAAAAATTCTATTAAACTAGGTAGTAAGTAGTAATCAATTACTTACCTATCGATGATTTCCTCCGAAACGTTTACTTAACCTAATAACAAACTAAATCATTTTGAAGAAGCGCGAGAGTACTGTAAACATTACACACGCAAAAGAATGACGAATAGACGGAAGTTTGTCAACAGGGTTGCCTGACCGCTGAAACGGCGCGGCGATTCCCCGATCAAAGACAATATAAACTTGATCTATGTCTATGGTCTAACTTTGGTGTTCCAAATACGGATACACGAATATTGAAAGTGAGTCCAAAAATAATCGGTTTTAGTAAAAAGAAACCAGTGTTTATCGGTTATTAAAAGAACCGGTTTTATTTAGGTTTTTCTAAACCCGGTTTACATCACTCTAGGAGGCATCAATCAGTCTGTGCGCGTGAGTTCCCCTTCCCCGATTTATTACTTTCCTCGATATCCTCTTAGTAGTCTTTACTTTCCTCCATGGCGTGAGAATTTATTAAATATATTTATTTATCTATGTACCCTGCGCGTGAGTGTTTCTACCTAAGTTAGTTTGGAGTTGTATTGTATCACAAAATACTATTGTATGTACAGAAATCGGCTTAGCTTTCCATTGACGTCAGTGGAGTTTGGTGTTGATACGTATTTTTACAGAAAGATTACACTATTATAAGCACACACACAAAGTCTCAATATACGGAAACGCGTAATTTTTGAGAAAAGAATAATTGAAAATCAATTATTCTTGCAATGTTTATGTCTAATCTGCTAATAAACTGGCGCCATTTTGTAATGTCATTGTCGACGTCAATAGGGATGTCGATTCTTTCCGAAAAAGATCGATTTTTAAATCGATTCAAATCGTAAGCTGATGTATCGGTTCACAAAAAATCGATTTCTAAAATATCTATATTTTTTTAATATTTCTATTTATAATGTAAATATAAACCCATTTTATGAAAAACAAGAAATATACCATGATAAATGATCTCTTATTGAAATTTGTTTTATTTAACAGTACCTATTAGGGCAGATAACAAATAACATAGGTTAGGTTCAACTTATGTCAAAGAACCGAATTGATTGACCCCGACTCCACCTGGTACGAGTCTGTCCTACCCCTAGAGTGGTTTTATAGAGCCGGAGGCGCGTAGGGGGAGCAGCCTCCGGCTGCTGTAACAAATCATAGGCATCGGACGAGGAGGGATGCCTGCGATTTGTTACGCTAAGGCGTAGAGGTTGCTCTTCCCGCAGCGCCGGAGACGTAGCAGTCTCAAAATAAATACAGAAATCCTTATGAATCAGTCCCCTTATTTTTTTATGATGAAGGGGATTTTTTTTCTCATAAAATGGATTTATATTTACATTATAAATGCAAACATGAAAAAAATATCGATATTTTAGAAATCGATTTTTCAGGAATCGATACATCAGCTTACGATTTGAATCGATTTAAAAATCGACCT